TGCTAGTGCCTCCATCCAACATACACCGCTGGTCGTTTGTGTGTGCACTGTGTACCTACGTTTTACTGCTTATTATTACTCTCGGCAGCTTTGTGTTGTCAGCTCGTGTGTATGGATGTGTCGTATGATTTGATGCCTTCTCTATGGGAATAAGAAGATGATCAATGGAGGGCGGTGTGGCTCTTGCTGCCGCTGCTGCCTTAGTTTTGAGATAATAAGATTGATCATGTACTGACTGGCGAGCTTAAACGATGGATGGGTATTTGTGCAATTTGTTTCTTTTTTTAACACGGTACATTCGCAGATCCTCACAAACACTAGCATACACTCATATGTATCAATGCACACATGCACACTCTACCGCATGAGCACATATGAGATACTGAGGTTGACGAAGACATCATAGACGCCTCATAGTTGATGAGAACAATCTTCCCACTGAACGAACATCGCAGGAAAGCCTCAAATAAATTCAAGAAATTGCGAGCATCGGTGCCAAGTCTAGGACTTGAACCCTGGTGGGCTGGGATACCACTGTCCTCCTAACCATCCAACCACAGGTTGGTTCACGGCATTTGTCGATTTTGTTGAACAGGTTTGCAGGCATTTTGTCCTCCTTCTTAAATTCCGTAAAGTCCATGAATAATGGGCATTCGTCGTGAAAAATATCAACGTGTTTCCACCCCATTCTTTACCGACATTTCCTTGGCCTATACCATCCGTAGTGAATGCTAGCAACCCTAAACTTCCTTTCACGCTTTCAATGGACATGCCCTGGGTTTGGTCCCCTGCCAGTTCTCGCATTTGATGCCCGCGAGGAAGATGAAGAAAAAATGCTATCCGTTTCATCTATAACACTACATATATGTATGAAAAAGAATCGCTCAGAAGTTTTTATTGTAGACTGCAGTTGATGTCAATAAAAAATCACAATATAGAAGTTCAAATAAAGGCTAGAGGCTAATTGATCAGTGAGTAGATATGCATTTGCACAAGTGCTTGCTAAATGTAACTAGCACAGTGGTCAACGCAGATGCGCAGGCAACATCTTTAGTGTTCATAACAAGTGAATAAAATGATAAACTATCATATCTTGCACATGTTGTTTTCTTTATGTTGCATTTTATGATCATAGAAACATACTATTTTAATATAGTATTTTACGGCCTAAAAACCTAGACAGTGAAACGGTCAACCGACGGTTCGACCAATGAAAATCTGAACCGGATGTTCAGTCACTAGTCTGGTTTCTTAAACTATGCCTACAGATCCGGTCCGCAGCCTCTTTTTGAAGGAAAACGGCAGGAAATTCCTACTGCATATATTTATAGATTTTTATGTTTGTAAGTTACTCCATCCGTATTAAAATGTAAGGCGTTTCTGTAGGCTAATTTAACCTAAAAAACATCTTATATTTAGGTACAGAGGTAGTACAAAGAAAGGAAACACTGTGTTCTATAAGTAAAAGAGAACAAAAAGAAACAACTAGGGTACAAGGAAATAAAGCAGACATATGGCCTCGATTTCCAATTAGTTAATAGAAAGCCTTGACCCAAGCCTCTTCTGGAGGCTTCTAGCTCAGTCATAGGCATATAAGCGCCGTGACACATAAACCGTGTTGTAGTGGAAATGCTGACAAAACCAAGCATAGCATAAGTGCAGTGCACAAGATGATGCAAGGGTTGTTGACTCTAGTTGAATTCTGCACCACGTGTTTCGAATAAACCATTTTCTCCTGTCTGTCGTACTGTCTAGCTTGCGCATGAAAAACCCTAGTCAGGCTGACTAGCTAATCTGCTAGTAGTCGTTGCGTGCGTGCTGTACAGAGGTCAACTCTCCCAGTGACTCGGAATTTCACGCACTTGAAGCTTGTTTCGTGGTGACAAATGAACGCGCGCATCTTTTCGATTCAAGGCACCATGAATACAGCAACGGCAAGACTTGACTGCAGTCTGCAGGTCTGGCCATGCAATTTGAAAGACTCCTTCTAGCGCTCGGAAAAAATAGATTACGTACAAGACCACGCTGACGAGAACGAATTTTGAATATAGGACCAATCATCCATCCGGAGGACAAGTTCTCGTCTTCTCAACTGCTTTATCGTTTTTCTTATCTTTCTTCTGTGGAACTGTTGATAGCTTGAAAAGTCGATGGTGACAGGAGGACAAGTTCTTGTCTTCCCAACTGCTTTATCGTTTTTCTGATCTTTATTCTGTGAAACTGTTCATAGCTTGAAAAGTTGATGATGGCACAGTGAAGAAGTCGACGGAAGCGCAAGACGTCGAATTCAGTCGCAATCGTCTGCTGCACGCCCGCTATGACTTAGGGGAATTTTGAGTGAGAATGTTAGAAGTATATTGTGTTTAAGTTAGAGATAAGGATGTAGAGATAGAATAGGTTTTAACTACATGTAATAGGTCTTATACTCTATATATACCGAGCTATTGTCTATATGTCTATTTCTTTATTATCTTTTGTCAGATTGTTAGTGTTTAGCTGTGTGCATCTTAGTTATGCAGAGGTCGGGTGTTGCTCATCATGCTTTGTATTCACTTGATGCTACATTTTGAGTTAATAAAAGTGTCCTTTACCAAAAAAATATACCCCATACGGGAGTCAGATCAATACAAAAAAAACAAATTCAAGCTATCACTAGTTCCACATTTTCCACATGATTCATTCCTTATTATAAACTTCTAGATGATGTCGGCATACTACATTTCAGCATTTTTTTTGCTTCAACCAAGTGAAAAAACGAACTCACTCTTGTGTAAATTTGACTTTTTATTGTACAAAGTTGCTCAAAAGCACATATTATCAACTTAAGATTTTTTCGGGTTCCAACTCATAACCCATGAATAGAACGGTATCAGCTACATATTGTAGAATGGACAAGTATCATCTACCAAACAAGGAATCACAATGCTGATTTGGACAGCAACTCTCGCCCCCTCTTTTTTAGAAAATAAGAAAATAAATCAATATCAAGACGATATCAGTTACACCCGGCCTATGCAACAACTCAATATCAAGCGCTACTCAAGACACTAAGAATGCATATAGACAGAATTATTTACAAAAAAAAAAAGCAGTGGTCCATGCAAGTAGCCAAACCGACCACCTTTGATACAACCAAGGCTGCGAGCATGGTTCTTCAAAAGCAACGCCTTCACGAACAGAATGACATGTCAGCATCATCATTACCAAAACTGACACGTACAAGTCAGATCATGGGTTTTCATCCCGAAGATCAAGTCTAATAGAAACTCAAAGCAATGTCTTCAACAATGAAACTATGTGAAAATATCGTTATTAGCAGATAAAACAATTAAGGTCAGTCCTAGAGTATTCACCCCATAGCTTGAGACCAGGTGATACCGAAAGGACCCCAAACCACAGTCCACATGTGATGTCTCCACCAATTGTTGACCCAATGAAGATGATGCAAGCATGAAGGAATCTTGACAAGGACACATCCACGTGGCCGAAACCATACACGCACCAAGCAGGCAGCCCATCCTCCAATAGCCCTCCGCGGATCCTTTGGCATTCAACCATGCACACATGATGCTGGTCACACATCAAGTGACTGAGAGAGAATGGTACTACCGTAACCTCACACTGGAGACACTCAGGTGATTCGATGCCTTGGTCACAAGTGTACGTTGGTGCTAAATCTAGATTAGCGTAACTGGTGGAGTTTTTAGCGCCTACTATTGCGTCAAGCATTGTAGCCAAGGACTCTTAGATGATTCTTTAAATTATTTTATCTCTCTAAGCGCTTATATAGGAGTTCTCTATTGTAGATGCCCTGCTGGTCGCCCGGTCCGTCCTTCTTTGGTTCTACCTGACAATGAAAATGCTTAAGGGTTGTGCCTTTATTGAAGGCATTGCTTGGATATTATTCAGACCTGCTCTTTGGAATGAAAACCATTGATGGCTGGATCAGACGACAATGGAGCTTGTGCGTGTGTGTCATTACCTTTCTAGATGTGTTGCTTTCGAAGAATCTCTATCGAAGTCCATATGTTGTCAAAGATGGCAGTTGATGTTGATGTTTGGTACTGCATGTCGTCGGTTGTTGCACCATGTCATTTGGTGTCTTTTTTTCTTCTTCTTTTTTTTCTTTTTTTTTGGTTGTTGTGTGCATCTTTGATGTCTTGATTAATTTTGACATTGTAGCTTGAAAAAAGTTCTTATATTATGGGACGGAGGGAGTACTTGATATCAGCTTGACATTAATATATTATCCTTTTTTAAAAAAAAATCTTGGTACACAGAAGCGCCACCTCAACCGTGTTGTCAAGAAATACCACAGCGAATCTAGGAATAAAACGAGTGCATACGAAGATGCAAAGAATGTCTGGTTCAAGTTAATTCTGCACCGTACGTTTCACATGAACCAATTTTTTCTATGACGTGACTATTGTGGCAGTTCTAGAGCACTTGGAAATCTCGAGACGGTCTCACGATCTAATTCGTTAGTTGTCTGCGTGTTGTACAGTTGAACTCTTCGACTCACTTGGAATTTCACGCACTTTACGTATTCATCGTGGAAGAAACAAAGAAACGGAGGAACGCATCTATTCAAGGCCACCCAAGATGACTTCCACGATGAATACGTAATGTAAGAAACGGAGGAACGGAGGAACGCATCTATTCACTAGAGTCTACAGGTCTGACCATGCAATTTGTTTGTGGTGTATTTTCAGGTCAGTTGTCAAAGGTGACGAACACTTGGGATAATCAGCCCATGTCTCACTCACCCAGACTTGTCGAACGTTGAAACAAAGAGAGTATTCATTAGGAAAAACTCAAGGTTCTGCCCACACAAGCATGAGTCCTGCATGACGTGAGACCAAAAGCATGCATGCATGCATGTTACTCCCTCAACAGCAAACCATACTGGCTGGGCTGTGCTATATATAGCAATATCGAACAACAAAGTCGCCATAGGCAAAGAGATACAAAGTTGTTTCTGTCACAAAGTTATAAACACAATGAGCATCGTCCTTAGATGCTTGTGCGTGCAGCTAGCCATAGCCTCGTTCTTGCTCACACAAACCAGCTCCACTGAAACCCATGCCAACAACACGGGCAGTTGTGTTGCGAGTGAGAGATCCGCCCTTGTCCGCTTCAAAGCGGGCTTGTCGGACGCTGCAAACCGCCTTTCGACGTGGCGGGGCGACGACTGCTGCCGGTGGAAGGGTGTCCGTTGCAGCAAGAGCACCGGCCATGTCATCAAGCTCGATCTTCAAGGTTCTTACGACAGCTATCTAGGAGGCAACATGAGCTCCTCGTTGGCTGGTCTAGAACGCCTGAGGTACCTCGACCTCAGCGGCAACTCGTTTAGCGGCTTTCAGCTAGCAGAGACTTTGCCGTCTCTCCACCACTTGAGGTATCTAAACCTGTCCAGCTCGGGCTTTGTTGGAAGGATACCACCACAGCTGGGTAATCTCTCCAACTTACGTTACTTGAGTCTTGGTGGTAACGCCGACACATACTCCACGGATATCACCTGGCTATCGCGATTATCTTCCCTTGAACACCTGGACATGAGCTCTGTGAACCTTAGCGCCATTCCGAACTGGTTGCCAGTCGTGAATATGCTTCCTTCCCTCAAAGTTCTTCTTCTTACTAGCTGCCAGCTTAACAACAGTCCTGATTCTCTTGTGCATTCAAACCTGACATCTCTTGAAACTCTCGACATTTCCTTCAACCTTGCCCCGAAGCGTCTAGCACCCAACTGGTTTTGGGGCTTGACTAGCCTTAAGTTGCTTGATATCTCATGGAGTCAATTTAGTGGTCCAATTCCTGACGAGATTGGGAATATGACCTCCATGGTAGAGCTCTATCTGTCACATAATAATCTTGTGGGCATGATACCATCAAACCTGAAAAAACTTTGTAACCTGGAAACATTGTTTATACATGATGCCGGTATCAATGGAAGCATAATGGAATTCTTTCAACGGTTGCCTTCTTGTTCATGGAATAAATTTTCAGCATTGGATCTATCTAACAACAGTTTGACAGGAAGCCTACCAACCAAGCTCCAAGAATCCTGGATCAATCTGACCTTTCTCTATCTTGGTGGAAACAAACTCACAGGTCATGTGCCGCTATGGATAGGAGAGCTCAGAAAGCTAACTGCATTGAACCTAATGAACAACTACCTGGATGGTGTTATACAGGAAGGTCATTTATCAAACTTACCAAGATTGCAGAGGCTGTTGTTGTCAGGTAATTCAATAGCCATCACAGTGAATTCAACTTGGCTTCCTCCATTTAATCTGACAATGATTGGACTCCGGTCGTGCCTACTCGGACCTAAATTTCCGATGTGGTTACGTTGGCAAACACCTATATACCTCGACATCTCAAATGCAAGCATCTCCGACATAGTTCCGGATTGGTTTTGGATAATGGTTTCCTCGTTGGACTCGGTTAGAATGCAACAAAATCAACTTCGTGGTTTTCTACCATCTACAATGGAATATATGAGGACATCCGCAATGGATCTCAGTTCCAATCAATTCACTGGTCCAATTCCTAAGCTTCCTATTAATCTAACCTACTTGGATCTTAGTACAAACAAACTATCAAGGCTACCATTAGAATTTGGAACGCCACAACTTGAAGTACTTCTTCTATTTGGCAACTCGATCTCTGGTACCATTCCATCATCTTTGTGCAAGTTGACATCATTGAAGCTATTAGATATATCAAGAAATGAGCTCACTGGGTCAGCTCCTGATTGCCTAGTCAATGAATCCACTACAAACACAGAAAGTTTGAGTCTTAGTAACCTAAGCTTAAGAAACAACAACCTCTCTGGTGTTTTTCCTTTATTCCTCAAAAATTGTCCCCAGCTCATATTTCTTGATCTCGCACACAATAAATTCTTTGGGACTTTGCCATCATGGATTGGGGAGAAGTTGCCATCTTTGGCATTCTTACGGTTGAGATATAATATGTTTCATGGCCACATTCCTTTGGGGCTCACGAAGCTAGCTAATCTTCAATATTTGGACCTTTCCAACAACGATATTTCAGGAAACATACCAAAATCCATTGTTAACTACACACGGATGATTCTAAGCAGAGATAAATCTGATAAATTTAATGGAGTACTCAATTTTGAAGATGTTGTTTATCGCTCTGACGTTGACTACACAGAGAATTTCACAATAGTCACAAAAGGCCAAGAGAGATTATATACAGGTGAAGTCATATACATGGTAAATCTTGATTTGTCGTGTAACAACATAACAGGAGAGATTCCTGAAGAGATCGGCGCTCTTGTGGCGCTGAAGAGCCTGAACCTATCATGGAATGCCCTCAGTGCAAAAATTCCTGAGAAGATTGGCGCCTTGGTGCAAGTCGAGTCTCTTGACCTATCACATAATGAATTGTTCGGTAAAATCCCTACAGGCTTATCGGCTCTCACATCATTGAGTCACTTGAACCTGTCCTACAACAATCTGAGTGGAGAGATACCATCTGGAAATCAACTTCAAACACTTGATGATCAGGAATATATTTATGTGGGCAATCCAGGCCTTTGTGGTCCCACGATCTCCAAGAAATGTCCAGGAACTGAGTTAATTCCAGCTACTCCGGAACATCATGAAGATGCAAGCAATATGATCTCGTTTTACATCGCCATGAGCTCTGGATATGTAATGGGCCTCTGGGTAGTCTTCTGCACATTCTTGTTCAAGAGGAAATGGAGAATTTTCTGGTTCTCATTCTGTGACAGTTTGTACAACCGAGTTTATGTGAAGGTGGCTGTTAGTTGGGCTTCCTGGACAAGGAAAGATGGGTAGAACGTGATATTGCTATCACTGTTTTTCTTTGGTATATGCTGTCATGTGTGGGGATTTTATGATGTAGTATCATCTGATGTAAGTATTGTACAAGTGTATTAATAAACATGTTACATGTATGTAATCAAGGGGCCGGGCGTATGTACCCAGTCGACCAACTTTGATATTACCTTCGCTATGTACAAGTTTATGCATAATGAATAAACCTATCAGAGTGATCCAGAGCGCACATGCTTACAATGTCGTCCGGGCCTGAACGCAGCTGCACCGCCGTCTCAATACAAGTACGAGCAGTTGTAGCTAGCTTCTGACTAAGGGCATCTCCAACACTCACCCGCAAATTAGCTCCGGCATCCGTCGGCGGACAGGCGGACACGGATGCGGGAGCCGGTCCAACACTGTCTGCACATATTTCAACCATTATTTAAACTAACAGGATGAAATTCGTGCAAACACGGTGGATTTTTATATAAATCGGACAAAATTCATTACATTTCAAACATTTAGAAAAAAAAAAGTGGTCCGGTCCTAAACCAATCCTACGGCGGTGGCCGTCTTCCCCTTTCTTTGTATTCCGCATCAACAACCACGTTCTCCATCTGCTGTCTCCATAAAGGCGGGTTCAAGACCCACGAGGTGGAGGTGCGGATTCCGGCGACGAGAGTAGAACATGGGAGACGGATCGCCCCACTTGGGACACAATGCCCAGTCGCCTCCAATGCCCTACTCATCCTCGAAGGAGTCCGCGACATGTCTGTCGCCGGTGCTGGTGGACGTGAGGTCGATGATGGACGTGGAAGGTCCGGCACTATCCACCTGCAACCAGTTTTGGAAACCTTTTAGAAGGTTCAACTCTGGTTTTTTTTCTGATTATGTTGTTTTCTTCTACTGTGCTTTCTGAGGGTTTTCCCATTTTTGTCCCTTTTCTTTTTTTATTTTATTTTCACAATTTTCCAAATTTCATAGGAATTTCCCAAAAAAATGAAATTTTCAAAAAATGCCCGCACTTCAAAAAATTCACAATTTCAAATATTCCCACATTTTTCTAACAAAAAGTCTAGCATTTCAAAAATGTGCGCATGTCTAAAAGAAATCTGAAATTTTCAAAACATGTTCATGCTTGTCAACAATCTAAAAGTTTTTAAAATAGTTCATGATGTTTTAAAACATGTTCTCAAATATTCAAAATATCGCCCTCTAAAAAACAAATTTTCTTGTTCCCTAAAAGGCCAGAAAAAATAACTTAAAACCAACAAAAGAGAAAAATAAAACTTAGATGAAAATAATAGGAAAAAATATGATGGGTCAGCCCAGTTGTTTTCTCCCCTGAGGACGTATCTGCTGCACCAAAGCTTCTTGTGCTACCGGTAGATTAGATGCCGGTTACACATTAAAAAACGTCACAAAAAATCCAAGAAAAAAAGTGCATAGACAGAACATCAATCTATGTTTTCACAAAAATTCAAACCAAAATTCGGAAAATTGCTCGAGATACAAAAATGGCAAATGTGACATCAATGTGATAATTGGCCAAATCTAAAGGCCCAACTTGTGTTATGTGCTATTCAGTACCGAATTTGTCATTTTCGTATCTCAAGCTACGTTTTGAATTTTGATTTGAATTTTTGTGACAACATAATTAATGATATGTGAATGTGCTAATTTTTTAGATTTTCTAAAATATTGAAAATGTGCTTAAGGAGTCCGGTGCACATGTAGCACAAGAAGCTCCGGTGCACCAGATACATTCTCTTTCTCCCGTCTGCAATCACCCTCAAAAAACATGTGACGCAGTAAGCGTCAAATAGGAGGTCTAGACTGCGATATATCTCTCTTATTGGGATGGACCGTGCGCCCCCCTACAAACGCCCCTATCTGGGTCAGACGAACAATGGATGTTGTTTTGAAACAATCTATGTACAGTTTGACAATGTTTTTGGGAACCTTTTGCCTGGGTTTCTTAAGGTTTCGTATGCCTTTAACCTTCATTATATTTTTTGAGCTTTTCTCTATTGGTTATCCTGTTTTTTCATTTCATTCATAATTCTTCTTTTCCTGTTTGTTCTTTATTTTACTTTTATTTTTCTTTTTATTGTTCCTCCTGTTTTCGCTTTTTTCTATCATTTTGAAAATACACATAATGAACATTTGCAGATATAAATGCACTGTGGGCATTTTTTTAAACACACAATGAATCTTCTTTAAACATGTGTTCAACATTGTTTTCTAAATGCATGGTGAATATTTTCAAAATTAAATATTTATTAATACAGGATGACCATTTTTTAAATACATGATGAACGTTTTTAAAATACACGATGATGTTTTTTAATATGTGAACAATTTTATAAAACACATAATATAAAAAATTGACCCAGCGATCCTTTTTCAAACATTAAAGCAATATTTTCGAAAATGACTTTTAGAAATTACAGGAACATTCTACTACAGTGTTTCAAATTTAAATACATCGTCAACATTTTTTTGAAACATTCTGACCATTTTTTAAATACACGTTAAACCTTTTTCTAACTAAATGTTCATGTATCTCAGAAAAGATATTTTATACTTTAATAATTAGTTCACGTCTTAAAAATATATTCACGTACTTTGTCTAAACTAGTAAAGAAAAATAAATCAAAACAGAATAATGCGAAATAGAATGGTGCCTGTTGCCCAAAGAATGACGTTTGCCTGGCCCATACACAGTTAATCGTATTCGGCGGTTAAGGCCTCGAATACTTCCTTGTCCGTTATTAGCGCACACACTTTCAACGGTAGGTTAGTTAAGTGGGTCGGCCTATGCCAGCCTTCTCTTTTCTTTTCTTTTTTTTAGAAAATGTCAGCCTTTGTCAGCCTTTGCACCAATTTTTGGAACATTCCAGGTTCCAATCGTTTTTTTGGCAGGTGTCTTTATGCTTTTTTGGCACCGACTTTATCTAAGTTTTGGGGCTTTTCATTTTATTCCATGTTCGTTGTTTTTAATTTCATTTTCGCAAACTTTGTGTCTATTCATGAACTATTTTGCAAAATTGTTTTCAAATTCATAACACAAATTCAGACCCATAATTTTTTTCGGAATTTAGAAAGGTCAAACTTATAAACTTTTTATATCTGGAAACTTATTTCAAATTAATTAACTTTTCCTATTTTTATGGAAAAAATTGAAAACGTGAACTTTTTGTGTTTGTCAACTTTTTACAAGCTTGTGAACTTTTTGTATTTCATGAAATTTTTTACAACTCGTAAACTTATTTTTGAAATTCTTAAACTTTATTTAAATTCCTTATAAAAATTACACTTTTAAGAGTCAATGGTCAAGTGATCAACCAATCAACAAGCGACCGAGCCAAGAAAAAATAAAGCACGTAAGCAAACCTGCTGGTCTACGGACCATCAAGTGAGCGTTCTGCTTAATGGCCGGCCAACATAACCATGCGCATTAGCGCCAGCGGGCCAACTGACGGCGTCATACGAATGGTCCAACTGATGAGTCATATCTACTACAGTACTATTCCCTCCGTCCCATAATGTAAGACGTTTTTTGACACTACACTAGAGTCAAAAAAACGTCTTACATTATGGGACGGAGAGAATAGTTTATAGCTAGAATAACTCTCGTCTCGCCTGAAGCGCGCGTATAAAGGGTCGGCACATCAGCTCAGGTGACTCGCTTGCCACAGGTCACTCGCCACAGGTCTTTTGTGTCGCTCGCCATCGGTCCATGTATTGGTTTGTGTTCCGGTTTTTCCAAAAAAAAAAATCTTTCATTCATTTCTTCACCCTTTTATTGGTTTTCTTCGTTTCTTTCAAGGCTTTATTGATTTTTATTTTCTTTCACACTTTTTCGTTTTTCTTTGCTTCTTTCTCGGGTACCATGGTTTTTTATCCTTTTCCTTTTTTCTTTCTTTTTTCTATATTTTTCTTTTTGATTTTTTTTCTTTGTTTCGTTCCCGGATTTCACGGTTTGCTTTTTTGTATTGATTTCTTAGGTTTCCATTTTGTGTTTATTTGGTTTTTCAAATAAGTTATTCAACTTAATTTGTAAATATTTTTTTATGTTACTTTTCTTTTATCCACATCTACATTTTTGTATAAATTGTAAAAAACAATTAAATATGTTTAATATGTTCTAGAGTACATGATTAATTTTTTTAATGTGTTTGAGGACTAGTTTTTTCGTACATATTCAATGGTCGTTCCCCCTTTCTAAAAAAACTAGAGGTTCAAATTTAAATACTGGAGAGGTTAATTCTTTATTACAAAAACAAAGAAGGACAAATAAAAAAAACATAGCAGTTCAAAAAGTTTATAAGAAAACAGATTTTACTCGTTTCTAAAAGAAATCTAGATGTTCAAATTTAAATAATGGAGCGGATCAATCTTTATTACAAAACTAGAACTTTTCCCATTACTAATGAATAAAACCAAGAAGTCCAGAATAAAAAATGGAGCAGTTCAATATTTAAAAAAACACAGATTTTCCTTCTTACTAAAGAAAGAAAATCAAGTTCAATTTAAAAATAATGCAATACTTGGATATATATGAAAAACTCAAGTTCTTCCCATTTCTTTGACAGATAAAAGTATGAAGTTCAATAAAAAAATAAAATGTTTGATATTTATTTAAAAACATCTTTTATAAGAACAAAACAAAGAAGTTGAACTTAAAAAAACAAAGATGTTCGAAGTTGATAAAAACATAGATTTTTCTCTTTACTAAAGAATAAAACGAATAAGTTCAACTTAAAAATAATGGAATAGTTCAAAAAAGAATATAAAAGTAACTTTCCCTGTTTTCATAAAATAACATAGAAATTCATATTAAAACAACATAGAAGTTTGACGTTTGTTAAAAAACTACATTGTTTTTCTTTACTAAACAATAAAACTAATGAAGTTCAAATTAAAATATTAAGCAGTTCAATGGTTATGAATAAACTCAGTTATCTCTCGTTAGTATCGAATACAAGCATGAAGTTTAAAATTTTAAAAATGATCAATTCAATGATTATCTAAAAATAAAAACATCTTTACTAAAAAAATAGTTCAAATTAAAAAGACACAAAAGTTTGAATTTTATGAAAATCTATGAGTTAGATGTTCAAAAAAAGAAAAAAAAACACCATCATTTTTTACATTCTTAAAAACTACTCATAACACGACGACTAAATTTAAAAAAACTATGCATGAAAAAGTTTCTACTATGCAAACTCTTTCCAAAAGTTGTGTACCATATGATCTATTGCGTTTAACGATTCAAGATTTTGGTGTATATCATTTGGAAAAAATCGTATTAAAAAATCCTTTAAGCCCGTGGAGATTTTTTTTAAAACTCAACAAGAAAATGTCGCATCTTTTCAACAGCTATCCGAAGGTACATCATTTGCGCAAATCTGATGAAGAGTTGAAGAATTACGAACAAAAAACATGACAAAAGTTTGAAGTGAGCGAGCAGTTCAACTTCTACCCGAATTGCATTTCAGATGCGAATAAAAGTAATACAAAACTAAAAGTTCAAAAGGTTTTGCTACTAGAAGTTTGCATGCTGCTCATGGCACAATTCTAAATTTCTTGTGTGAGAAGTGCATTGTTCATTTACATGTTCAAAACCACAAAAACAAACTAGTTTTTGGCACTTGTAAAACTGCATGCAAACGACAACGAATTTGGAAAGAATGTCTACATGAAAAGGTTGGTCCTATTCACAAACTTTCCATCGGTATATCATACAATACACGGTTTAAAAGTTCATGTATACCATTCAAAGCTAGTTTTTACATACTAAAAAAAATCTTCTGAGCCGTCGTGAATTTGGAAGAAAAAAATGCTCAAGATGAAAAATTTGTGTCATTCGACCTCTAATTAGTTAAGGATGGGCCCTTCCCCGTATACATCGACCCCAAGCATGAGCTTCCAAGAAAGTGCGATTAAGCTAAGTAATTGACGGGCGCCGAGAGGGTTTTATCTTATGTGAGAGCTGGCGATTATGCCTTGCTAGTTTTGCTGGATCCCTTCCCTTTTATATTTAGATTAAAAGAATGGGTTTGTTCCTATCTAATTGAATGGCAGATTGGCATCCTTTTGTTTTTGATAATGCATGGGTGGTGGCCAGAGAGGTACAACGGCGGCGGCAGAGGAGTAGGGCGTGGATGCAAAGCAAGGGGGAGCAAAGGCGAAGTGGAAGAGAATGAGACTAGTAGGGGGTTTGAATGGGTCGAGAGTGTTAGAGTCGTAGGTGGTGGCGGCCCGAACTCCCACCCCCACCCGCGTTTGCTTCCATTTGTAGGGGAAAATATGTCCTGACCGGCCGGCGGACAGATATGGGATCACATTGGATGACAAAACACGTCTGGTCGGGTGGTAAGTTGATCCGCTGCATGGCTCGGTTCTCGAGACAGTTTACTTACCGGCTATGTGTGTCCTCTCTCACTGAATTTAATCATGTGTCCCAGGAGGCCAGGTCAGCTAGCCACGACTATTTTGGCACCTCCAACGGCACAAGGAAAACAACAAATAGATGATGGTCATAATTTTGTACGCAGAAGGAAGGTCAAGGGCTCAACAGCGAGTTACTACTAGTTAATCCAGCACCGGCAATGAACATGGGTTCTTCGTTTTGGTTGCTGCTGTTGGAATAAGAAAACATGAGTTTAAAATTAGAGCTACAAAATGAAAGTTCAGATAGTGTTGTACATGGACGATGAACCGACGACAGATTCTTCTCCCGCTTGTTGCACCGACAGAAGACCGCTACACCTTCGCTGGGTATCCTCGTGCTGGCCATGTGCTCGCTGACCATCATCATGTATAGCACGTGCATGGATTCCATACAAACGGTATTAAGAAGAAGCAACTGTAGCTGGCAGATTAGTTAAGCTAGCTTAATCAGTTTTTTTTTTTAAGAAAAGAAGGATAACCCCCGGCCTCTGCATATGGGCGAAAGCTAGCTTAATCAGTACTGTACTAGTTTATCCTCTGATTAGTTTAGTTAAGGATGGGCCCTTCCCCAGGTTCGTAGACCCCAAGCAGCAGCTTCCAATCAAATGTGATTAAGCTAATAAATCCACGGCCAAGAGGGTAGGGTTTTGTCTGATGCGAGAGCTGGCGATTATGCCTTGCTAGTTCTGCTGGATTCCCTTCCCTATTTTTGCTTAAAAAAGGGGTTGTTCCTATCTAATCGAATGACAGATTGACAGTTTTTTGCCAAAAGAACTGCAGGATTTGGCAGTAACCTGGCCCACAGGCAGTCTGCATTAGAGAGCTGGCGAGATTACGACTGGTTGCAAACGCGTAGTGCCAATCATTAGGCATGCAGCACTTTCTATTTTTTACAGCACACGCATGGCGCCAAAATGATTTTTGCACTTTCATCGATATACTACGTCTGTGTCTAAATATAAGACGTTTCAACAGTTTAAGGTCACTTTGTCCTAGCTAAATGATGTGCATAAATGAGAGAGAGAAAAAGTCACACATGCAGCAGGCCATTTCTAAATTATAATCCACTAGTACTAACCAATATACACAATAGTGCACACATGGGAATAATGTATCAAAGCAAGAACCATCAGTTGACCAACAATGCAAATTTTTTAAAAAAACACTCTGTTTTCTATAAACCAAATTGGGCGATGTGTGAAGACCGTAGGATGTGACATGGTGGCTAGCGTCGGTGTTAAGATGGCGATGCTCTCACAACTCACAACATGAGTTCCAGTGTGCCCCCTCGTATAATTAGGCAGGACGAAGTGTTATGCTTTCTACTAAAGTTTTTAGTGTGTCTATTAAGTTCATTGTTGATGAAATCGTTAACTGGTAGCTGCTCGATTGTCTGGCAAGTAGGGGATTAAATAGGCTGAAGTTTTTAGTGTGTCTATTAAGTTCATTGTTGATGAATTCGTTAACTGGCAGCTGCTTGATTGTCTGGTGAATAGGGGATTAAATAGGATGAAGTTTTTAGTATGTTTATTAGTTGATGAATTCGTTAACTGGTAGCTGCTCGATTGTCTGGCAAGTAGGGGATTAAATAGGCTGAAGTTTTTAGTGTGTCTATTAAGTTCATTGTTGATGAATTCGTTAACTGG